TCCCATGTTCATCTAGCTTGGAGAAGAAATTAAGCGAGAAGAAACTCGAAACATATTGTCGAGTATTTCTCCAGGATAACACCACAAAGGTCACCGCTGATCTGACCGTATTCCTGTTTGTAAAGGGGATACCCCCAAAAGATCTGGCCAATTGATTTTTGATAATTCCCATCATCCTCTCATAAACCCCCCCCCCCCACCATGGAGCTCTGGCGGCATTAAAATGCCACTTGACTTGCTTGGTGGTGAATCTTTGCACAATTTCTTCTTGGTTCGCGCGAGAAAATCTTGGCCATGCTGCATGGAATGTGGCAGCATTGTCAGATATAATGTTCCGCGGCTTGATATCTCAGATGTTGCAAAATGTATCATAAGCACCAATAAATGATTCAAGGGTCAATGTATCCACCTCCTCCAGGTGTTAACCCTTGTCAATGGGCAAGAGAAAACACATATAGAAATGCGTTTTTCCGTTGGAGTGTTCAACTGTCCAACAAAATCAATTCCCACTGTTTGAAGGCTTGAATGCCAGTATAGCAATATGTTGGTAAAGGTGCAGTGGTGGTTAAGTAAGGAAGGTTGTTGAACCTCTTGCACCAATTGCACTCCTTAATTGTTTTTCGGACTATTTGCTGTCCACCCTGTAGCCAATAGTTCTTGCTAATTTCTTGAAGGGTAAATGCCGTGGATGAAAGTTTGTTAATAATGTGTTGCGTATGGACAAATGCTCTCAATAGAGGATATGTCTTTCTCTTCTTTGGGACGGGAAGATGGATTAGTGTCCGTTTTGTCTGCGGCAAGTTGCTGTTTTCATCAAAAGATCGGCAACTGATAGATGTGATCATCTGAATCCCTGCATCCCATGTTAGGTCAGGTCAATTAGGCACTTTCCTTCCTGTCTGAAGATGTTCCCATTTTGTGTGATCATAGAACTTTTGCATGATCCGTAAGCCTTCCTGATGGGCTATCTCAAGTTCCTCTGGCGTAAATGGTGGTATTTTTGGATTTGATGAAAAGCCCTTCTTGCATTTTGCGGCAAGGATAGTTGATCTCTGTTGTTTTGCTTTCTTCTGCATCTGGTGGAGAGTGGCAATGTTTGAAACCTTGCCCCATGTGCGGGCTTGTTTGAAAAGTTGATTGATGGTTTCTTTTTCTTGTAAAAACTGGGCCTTATTGGCTGAAAGCCCCCCTGCACTCATGGCTGTTCTTGTTGCCACTGGTTGTTCTGGCCATTTGTTTTTGTCAGAAAGCCACGTAGGGCCATTCCACCATAAGGATGAGGACTGGATGTCATCAACCTCACATCCTCTGGATGCCAAGTCTGCAGGATTTGTTTCTCCTGGCAGATGTTTCCAATTTGCTGGTGTTGAAACTTCTAGGATTTTTTGTACTCTTGTATTCATGTATTGTGTGTGCTTTGACTCATTTTTGTTGATCCAATTCAAAGTGACAGTCAAATCCATCCAGAAGTGGATTGTATGCATTCCAATGTTTGTAGCTTTCATCAGGAGTCCCAACATGCGGGCTGCAAGGCAGGCTGCTGAGAGCTCTAGCCTGTTGATGCATGTTGCTTCAGATTGCTTTTTAGGCATTGCTCTTTGCTTCTTGTGGACCAGTTTGGACTTGGCCCAAATGAGCGTTGTCACTGGTTTTGCCCCCCTGGTTGTAAAGTAAATTGCAGCTCCAAGAGCCCTTTTGCTTGCATCCGAAAATACATGGATATCCCCAGGTTCCTTTGGAGTTGGTGTTACCAATCTTGAGATCTTTACCATCGCAGTACAAACAAAATTTGTACTACGAACAAGGGTGAATTCACACCCTTCTTTGTAGTACAAACTTTTTATTACAAACAAGTTTCTTTTGTTTGTACAGTAGTACAAAAAAATTTCTGTATTCTGAGACAATCATCTCAGATAACACAGAAACTTTTCAGACTACAGACAATTTTGTGTTTTGAGACAATTGTCTCAGAACACAGACAATTGTCTCAGTAACCTATAATTTGTCACATGAAAAAAATTTTTGTGTTCTGAGACAATTGTCTCAGAACATAGAAATTTTCATGAAATTTGTGAACAAATTTCACAACAAATTTCTGCATTCTAAAAAATTGCTGTGTTCTGAGACAATTGTCTCAGAACACAGAAATTTTTTCATGTGAAAAAACAAAACCAAATTCTGTGTTCTGAGAATTTTTCCTGAGAACCCAGAAATTTTTTATTCGAAAAATTTCAAAAAAACTTTTGTGTTCTAAAAAATTTCTGTGTTCTAAAAAATTGTCTCAGACAATTGTCTCAGAAATTTTTTAGAACACAAAAATGTTCATGAAATTTGTCAAATAAAATAATTTCTGGGTTCTCAGAAAAAATTCTAAGAACCCAGAAATTTGTTAACAAATTTCATGACAAATTTTTTAGACCATAGAAATTTTCATGAAATTTGTCACACACAAAAATTTCTGTGTTATGAGAAATTTTTCTGAGAACACAAAAATTTTTTTGTGACAAATTTCAAAAAACAAAAAAAAAGTTCATGAACATTTTTGTGAAATCACAGGAATTTTCATGAACTTTGTCACATAAAAAATTTTTGTGTTCTCAGAGAAATTTCTTAGAACACAGAAATTTCTGTAAACACAGAAATGTTCATGAAATTTGTCAAAAAAAATTTGTGTGTTCACAGAAATTTCTGTGTTCTGAAGAATGTCTGTGTTGAGACAATTGTCTTAGAACACAGCAAATTTTCAGAACACACAAATCTATGTGTTCTGAACACAGAAATTTAAAAAAAAATTTTTTGTGACAAATTTCATGAAAATTTGTGTTCACAGAAATTTATGTGTTCTGAAAAATGTCTGTGATGAGACAATTGTCTTAGAACACAGCAATTTTTCAGAACACCAAAATTTATGTTTTCTGAGACAATTTTCATGAAATTTGTCACTTGAAAAAATTTGTGTTCTAAGAAAAATTTCTCAGAACACAGAAATTTTTTGTGTGCCAATTTTCTTGACAATTTCTGTATTCAGGACACAGAAATTTCTGTGTTCTGACAAATTTTTGTGTTCTGAGACAATTGTCTCAGAACACAGACTTTTTTTTTCTGTGACGACAGTCAAATGACTGTCATCACAGTTGAAAAATTTTTTAATGCCACAAAAATTCACCTGGCATTTGTCACTTGTGAGGACAGTCATTTGACTTTCATCACATGTGACAATGGCCAAAAAAAAGCAGTCCAAACTGTTTTTTTTTCTTGAAAATTTTTTTTCTCTGGCTTTGTGGAACTAATTAAACAATTTCCCATACAAGTCTATGGGAAATTGTGTTTTGCATAAAGAACGTTTCACACTACAAACGTAGCCCTGGAACGGATTACATTCGTAGTGTGAGGTACCACTGTATGACAAATTTAGAAACTGTAACTTTATAGGGTATTGAATGCTTGAAATGAATTTCAAATGGTCTGAATATAAATTCATGCTTTTTTCATTTTTGGCGCACTTGAGATGCATGGAATTTTTCAGTTTATAAAGGAATTTTCTTCAATTCTCAGGCTGTTAAATATTGTTTTTTATCATCCATGCATGATTTATTATTTATTTTGGGAAAAGGCATCAGGACGTACTATGTTAGTGGAAAGTTCCATAATGTATCAAAAAATATTCAAATTATATATTCTTTTTGAGATATTAACGAGGCTTTTCCAACTTTTTTTTTTCAATTGTGCATCACTACTCACATCACCTAATTAACGTTTAGACATGATGCAGTTTATGCGAATTAGACAATATTCCAAATTTGCCCACAGCACGAGTATAAGCATTTGCATTCAAATCAGTTATTTTCCATCATCACAGAATACGGAATGCGAAAGGAAATCATGAAGATCGTTGATGACACCATGTCCGCAATTATCTCATCAGAGATGAAAAAAGTGATTGAGCTAAGTGAAGACCGGACTCTGCTTGGCCTAAGGAGAATAGAAAACGCTTTAGCGGAATGTCTTAGAAACGCTGAGGATATTCGAGAAGTTGTCACTTGTGATGAGACGGCGAGAGGCGCCATTAACAGAATTTTTGAGCATCTTCACACCATGTACAAGGTAAACATTATTACTTGTAATAAAGACTGTTGAGTTTTTTTATTTTATTGAATAAATAATTATACCAATTAATTGTATTTGATTCATTGCCACGTCCGATAATTAACTCACTGACTTATTTTCATTTTTGCTCTGTCGATTAAGCAAAATTACAGAAATTGTGGTACTTGTTGCTTTCAAATTTGAAATTCCAGCATTCGGATTTTTTTTTCCCAGCAGGATTGGATTTTGACCGAATTTGTTGACGATTTAGATTTTAGTCAGAGAAATATTCGTGATTTTTATTTGAAAAATTTTGATTGCCATCATATAATGGATTTTGGCCGAATTTGTTGATTACAATTTTAGCCAGAGAAATATTTTATAGCGATTGTTTTTATTGTAACATGTTTTGATTGCTGTCATAATCACTTATCTTATTTTCAAAATTGCCTCCTCATGCTCAGCTGAGTTTATTCAACTCCTATATTATTGGAAATGCATAAATCATTTTCCAGCTTCTGGTGAGCCACCATGCATGTTTTAATGTCCGCAGTGGGAGGAACAACCAGTAGGATCCTACAGGGGTCTGGGGGTGGGAATAATAAGGATGTTGTGTAACATGTGTCTGTGGCCTTTTGCACCTTGAATTAATTTGCCTACTTGAAAACTCATCAATTAACATTAAGTTGTCAGGATGGCCAAGCGGTCTAAGGCGCTGGGTTCAGGTCACAGTGTGGTTCTGCAGGCATGGGTTTGAATCCCACTTCTGCAATCGTTTTTTCTTTTTTTTTTTTTGTCTGCACTGCAGATGCTCTACTACTTTTAATAGGGGTGTAGCACATGTTGTCATTGGAAGATAAATTGGAACGGCATACAATTGAGTGTTAATTTTCAGGAAAAACATTCTTTTGTGCAAGAAAGGAAATTCAGACCTGTTTCAGCATATTTTTTTTTTGGGAACTGTTTGCAAATAAAGTCACCCTGGCAGGCTTTCTGCTGCTCTTCACTCAAAATATGAAGCACTCATAATGAAATATTTAGGGTACTTACCCTCAGCTTTCCCTCAAGAATTCTTGAAATTGAAACGGCAACAATTCCATGAAGGTTTTCAGCCATTAATGGATAATTAATTCCCTCAATTTCATTGACATTTGCCTTCACAGCTGCCACTTGGGATGAAATGTGGCGGCTGTGAAGTCTGCTGTTGATAAAAATTTTGGAATTGATTATCTTGGTTGAGACCTGGAGGAAACTCTTGGAATTAAAGCCATGTTGATTTCAAGAATTCTGTTTGAGAATCTCGGCTGAACCCAAATATCTGCAAGATGGGCGTCTCATTTGTTCAGTGAAGAAGAAGCAGAAAGCTGCCAGGGTGACATGCAAATAAATCTGTCAAACAGGGCTACATTTTTTTCTTCTGTGCCGAATAATTGTTCCTCAGCTCAATGATATGCCATTTCAATTTATATTCCGAGAATTTCTGTCAGGCCCCTTGCACATACAGTTGATCCCTGCAATAAGGCAAACCTTCCCAGGTCAAATGCCCTCCAGAAGTCAAATTTTTTTTAGCCCCTGTCTGAATTCCCTTAGAAATAATGGCCCTTAGAAATAATGCATTCAGAACCTCCCTAACTCAATGGCTTTTCCTCTGAAACCTCCATAATTCCAATTTTTGAGGCCTTTAGGCTATTATTTTATAGGAGCAGGAAATAAAAGAAAATGGTAAAAAATGGAATTGTATGTGCTTTCTGCTTTGACAGAATATGACAGACTAAATTGGGCAATTGATGAACCCCTTTCTCCAAGTTGATGGCCCTGTCAATAACACATTGTAGAAGCAACTTATTGAGGCCCAGAATATCACAATGTAAAATGTCGAGCAATTCTTCAATGTTCCCCACAACAAATAGTAGAGCGTCTGCAGTGCGGACAAAAAAACAAAACAAAAATGATTAAACAATTGCAGAAGTGGGATTTGAACCCACACCTGCAGAACCAGACTGTGACCTGAATGCAGGGCCTTAGACCGCTTGGCCATCCTGACAACTTAATGTTAATTGATGCGTTTTCAAGTAAGCTAATTAATTCAAGGTGCAAAAGGCCACAGACACACGTTACATGATGTCCTTATTATTCCCCACCAGACCCCTGTAGGATCCTACTGGTTGTTCCTCCCACTGTGGATGTTAGAAATACTTGATTCCATAAGTAAAACAGTTATTAATTCTATAAAACTCAAAACCCATAAATTCTATAAAAACCTCTCTGAGTCGAATTTGTTGCTGATGGTCCCTTGAAATTAGACTTGGAGAGATTAAATTGATGTATATATGCAGGAAACCATGGATTCCAACATTCGACCTTCGGACGGTCACTTGACATACGACACCTTATCCGGCCTGAAAATGATGCAAAAAATTGAAAGGAGTGGCTGCACTGCAGCAAGACCTCTTGGAACAAGCTGCTCGTCTCTGGGGTTACGTAGAAAACGAAAAGCCCCACGAACTCGAATGCTTCGAGGCTGGATTGGCAGAACTGGCTGCTGTGCACATTCCCGGGGACCTCAGGGAAATCTTCAATGGGGATCATCATCGGAAATCCTGCGAAACCGCGTTGCGAGAAGACGAACCTGTGAAGGAAGACGCGTATAATTTCTGCGAACCTGGACCCAAGTCTATGCATGTCTGCCCTTGATACGGATCAGCACGCTGATGACGCATATGACCCTACGTAATTTTTGGCAGACCAAAAATTTGCTGCCATTTCCTGTTTCTTTTTTGCAAGCATTTATTGGTTCTTGTGATGCCGCTGATCCTGAAACGAAGCAATCGTCTGTCTTTTGCATTATAATGGGTCCGACTCCGCGAAAAGCTGATTTCTTTTTTGGCCACGAAAGAGCTGCTCCCTATGCGTTGCTGTGTTCATGATTCTTGGATTATGAAGAGTCGTGAACATCTATGCTTGAGTAAAACGGTTTTCCTTAATTACAGAAGCTAAAATTTCGGGGAGTCATTTACATGCATTTTATATGTTCTCTTTTAGGGTGGTGGGTTGTGTAGTACTGGATCGTGTGGGTACAATTGGACTGATCACTTCATCAATGAAATGACTTTCCATTGTTTGTTTTTTTTTTTTGTACAAACCTGGTCAGGTAAAGGCACTTTCAGCTTCAGATGACACCCCTGGAAGGCACAAGTGTCACGAGATTTATTGTGCATACCTATGCAGGACATAAATAAATTACATTTTATTTTAAACTCCTGAAGCGAACCTCACTTCAAGAATTTCATTCCACGTTATATCGATAATTAAAATGAGAGTTCATCCACAAGAATTTCTCCTATCGTAGGGTTCGTGTCCTAGCTAACTCCTATTCGCACCCTCACAAACCAATTTGGACATGTAGTTCTGCTTTCTTACAAAAATTCAAACAAAATGAAGGCGAGTGGAAGTCCAAAAAAACTTCTTTTCTCTGAACAGAATTGAGACACCCAACAGTCACATCACTTGCCCATAAAAAAACTTCTCTCCCCCTCTTGGCGTCACGAAGTTTGTCTTCTCCGATGCTTAAACACATATGATACACTCATCTCTAATAGGAGGGCATTCGATGATGAAATCCTTGCACTGAACCTTAATTCCCCATCCAGAAACATGGGGTCGTCTTTTTCAATGCAGGTCCAAATCTCTGATACGAAATAAAAAAAAAACGCTTTCAAGAGATCCATTTTGGCTTTCCTCGATCATTCCACAGAATGTCATTAGAGAACCTGCTCAGAAGCTAGGAAATAAAAAGGGACAAGCTTCTGTTTTTGATCATCAGCATAAAGAAAGTTTGCTGGGTATTTGTACTAAACAAATTCTTCCTTCCAACAGTTCTTATCGTCTAATTTATACCACATCCAGCATTGAACCAAATAGGGGATCATGCAAAAATAAGTTATCAAAATAAAATTCAACAGTTGGACAATGCTGCCACATTAAGATTTTGTGTACTTTGAAAATATGATCAGTGATACTCATTAACTTGGCTGCCATGATTTTCAAACATTTGATTATGAAAAAAATGTCCAAAAAGAAATTAACTAACTTGCATGCCCTTTGATGGCTGGTTGCACTCCAGACTTCTGAAGGATGACAGATTCAGGAAGTGTTCCTCAATGGATCAATGCAAAAAAAGTACACAACTCACTCTTGAAAAGAAAAAAGGGATAGTGGCTATAAGATTTTATGGGATTTTATAAATAAATGAAATCCTTTTTTGGTGCAAAAAGAAGTGAATCAGGGGAGAGATAAGAAAAAATGAAAGACACTTTTTTTGTCAAGGGGGTTGGGGTCAAACAGGGATCACTTGCACTTGAGGTCAATCTGCTCATGCTGGAGTATACATGCACACAAACGCAAATGCCGTGCTGAACTGGCACTGTTCATGCAGTGCAGCTGTGTATGCTCTTGGAAAATGGCTTGGTAGATCATTTTTTCCAGTAATGATGTTACCAAGGTCAAACAAGAAAGGTGCCTTCTTATTTCTCAAATTATCCAATGGACCTTCAATAAGCAAATAATGACCTCATTAAAACAAAATGTAAAAAAATTTGCATTTCTTTAATTATCAATGTTGAACAATTATCAATTGAATAATTATAAGGAACTGAAAGCATATAAATACAATGGATTACTCACCATTATTGGCAACTTCTTTGTTCCTCAATAAGTTGAACATGCTGTGATGACTTTTCAAAGCCCAAAGCATATATTCAGCAAATTGTACATCAGCTTTGCTTGTCTTGTTGAAATTGCACTTAGGAGGCAATTCAATTGGGTTACCTAAAATTCATTTGTACAATTTTAAAATGATTTGAATTGAAGTCAATACCATATAATGTATAAAAATGAAAAGTACCTTCCTCATCAAGCTCAGCAAATCTCTTGTACAGACTTGCAACAGCACTCATGGGCTTCCTAGATCCACATGAAAAGGAAGTATTTAGTATCTTCTGCTGGCACATTTTTGTCCCTCTCCTGGGTGCAGCATCATCAGTATCCATTTCTTCAGGATATTCTGAATCAGAATCATCATCACCATCATCTGTACTAAGAAACATGACCTGCAAATTTTTAAATGACAATTATTTTAAGAGAAATGTACTATCATATTATGATTTTAAATACTCAAGCATTACCTTCGTCCTTGTTTGCTTGATCTTCTCTTCCTTCTATTGGCCATGCTTCCACTTGGAGAATGTGAAGAACTTGATTCCTCTTCAAAATCCACTGATGGTGTACTGGTTACATCCTATTTAAAAGATTTTTTCTTTAATAAAATTTATAATTTTTCAATCATTTTTGCATTGACCCACCTTTAGTTTTTCTTTTCTATTTACCTGTATGATTGCAGAAGCCTTCTTTGCAAGTTTTACAAGATGCCGATCATAATGCCAATTTTTAATGATAAATTCTGTCAACTTCAGAATATTATCACACTTTTGGCAGTCCCTTCCTCCTTGCTCTTTTGTGTACAGGATTTTCACCACCAAAACCAGCAATGCGCCACCTTCTCCATCAAGTCTTTGATCATGGATGAAGTTGACTAATTCCATTGCTTCTGAGCATGCTTCTGGCAATTTGGGCATACAACGTGGCCAACTGTAATAAAGCAAGATTCAAAACACAATTAGAATGAGCTATGGTACAATTTTATTTATGCAACTTATATGAAAACAATTTCAAATTAATTGGCCAAAGAGCCTGGTTACTTATGCTTATAATCTAAATGCACATGATGTGAATTTATGCCCAAAATATTTCTTTTTAAAATGTCACAGGTATTTCAATTTAAAAAAAAAATTATGTACATAAATGTACATTTAAATGTTACACACCTGGTTCCTCCTTTTCTGCATGACATTCCTCATCAGCTTCAACACTTTCAAAAACAATAAACCATGACAAAGTGTTTTTTACACAAAAAATTGCAATGTTTTTGTTGAACAACAAAAAATGGACAATGCATTTGTTGGATACATTTGTCATATGACAAACAAATTTGTCTTCTGCATAACAAATGTAAACCAGTGACAATGTGTTTGTTGCCATAATTTTGTTGTCATTTTTGAAAACAGCTAGAAACTGATTCAACAAACACACTGTCATGGTTTTTAAAATCCCCAATAACTTATTTTTGATTTAATAAAAATTTTTTACTCTGTGTGAACCTTTATTTAGAAGGAGTCTTGGTGTGAAAGTCTTCTAGTGCTGTTTGGTCCGTTCAAGGGTTGGTTTTCAAGTAAAAGGAATTATTTTTGTATGGTTGGATATGGGGTTTCAAAGGAATGGCAACCAATTTTGGGGCGTGCAAGTGCTCTTGTATTTCCTGATGTAAACAAATGTCAACTTTCTGTGACAGTGCGTGCAGACCCCCTGTTTTTTGTGCCCTTGTACCCTTCTTTTATTGCTACTTTATGCTAAACTGCTCTTCTTTATAGACCAAGTTTGTTTCCTTCTTCAATTGCCCATGTTTGGGTAGCCTGGAGGGTGTATGTTGGAATCCTACGCAAAAGGGTTCAGGTTTGAATCTCTTCATCAAAAATCAAGGAGGCTGCAAATTTTGAGTGACTTTGGCATGTGCGTGACTGCTGCAGGGTGGAGCCTCAATTTAAATGAGGTCCCCTCCTCAGCAGTCTCCTACAGTGCCATTGCAATAGTTGCAACAAATTTGGATTATTAAGATTTGATTTAATTGTGATGTGTGAAAAGGAAAAAGAATTTTTCATTTTTCTTCACTTAAATCATATCATTTAGTCATTTTTCAAAACTTTCTCTATATGTAGAAGATTTAAAGTATAATCACGTAAATGTTTATGAATATTTTTTATCTAATAAGAACAGTGCCTGAATTTTGTTTTAATTTATCATATCTTAATTTTTGTTGAATTACTTTGTCATACTTTTACAAATCATTGAGAAACAAAAGTAACCAAAAAGGTAAAATCAATCAATATTTAATTAGAAAAATGAAGAGAATAAATTTTTACAAAATGTTAGAACTAGTTGTGGTTTTATAAAATGACAAAAAACTTATGGCAACAAAGAAATTCTTGTTGTTTTCCAAAACAATGAGAATTTCTTTGTTGCCATCAGCTTGTCATCATTTTATAAAACCATTAGAAACTGATGTGACAAACACATTTTTGTTATTTTCTAAAGCCACAATAAATTATTCATAGCCTTATAGTAACATAACTTTCTTGTACTTTCTTAAGCAAGTTGAATGTTTTGCATGATTACTCATGAACAATTAGGTGATGATACATTGTCTACATGTATATAGAGGAAGCTTTGAACAATGGATAAATGATATGATGTAAGTGAAGAAAAAAATTTTCAATTCCTTTCACAATCATATTTCATAATACACTCAAATCTTTGGAATCCAAATTCAACGCACTTGAAGCACTGTAGGGGGCATACAGAGAGGTTATCCTCATTTAAATTGAGGTTATCCACCCTGGTCACCACAGTCTCTCTCTTTGTTCCAAACATTACTCAAACCCAGGCTTTTGAAGCTATTAATCGCACGTCAAGTACTACATACTCACTTGCCATTCAAAGCTCATGTATCCATCAGTCCAAAAAAGAAGATATACCAATGTGTTACCAGTATATCAAGCACAATTCTACTCACAATCATAGAG